ACCCACCCATATACTATTTCATGATCTATAGCAAATGTGTCACCGAGGCACGGTAGGAAAATAATCATATAAGTGGTTCTAGGTAAGTTGGAAGCCCTGATAGAAAAAAAAAAAAAAGTCTATCTTGACCCCTACCTCACACCAAACAGTCATCTCTGTATGGCGTGCAGATCTAAATGTAAGAGGTAGAGCAATGAAGCTTTTGGAAGAAAGCATAGGAGACAATCTTTATGATCTTGGAGTAGGCAAAATTTTATTGAAAAAGGCACAAATACTGGAAACAGTAAAGAAAGAAAAAAGATTAATTTGACTATGTAAAGATTAAGAAACTCTACCAAAAGCTACCACAAAGAGAATGAAAAAGAGAATACAAGCTGTAGAAGATAGTAGCGATCCATATGTTCAACAAAAAACTCCCATCTAGGATATAGAAAGAGGGGCTCAATTGGCTAAGTGTCCAGTTCGTGATTCCAGCTCAGGTCTTGGTCTCTTGGTCTCAGGGTTGTGAGTTTGAGCCCTGTATTGGGCTCCGTGCTGGATGTGAAGCCTACATTAAAAAAAAAAAAAAAAAAAAAAAAAGAATACATAAAGAGCTCGTACCAATCAAAATGAGAAAGAGCTTAATTAAAAAGGGGGGAATAATTGAGTAAGCATTTCGCGGAAAGTGATATTCAGATGCCCAATAAACATACAACATGTTGAAGTTCATTAGTCATCCAGGAAATTCAAATAAAAACCACAATGAAGTAACAGGACATACCCTTCAGAATGGATAAAATGAAAAAGAAAGGTAATACCAAGTGCTGACGAGAATGCAGAGCAACCAGAACTCTCATACTTTGCTGGTTTGAGTATAAATAGAGAGCTAATTTGGAAAACTACTCCTACTGAACATATCTATGCCCTGGGACCCTGCGATCCAGCAATCCCATTTCTAATTATACACCAAGCAGAACTTTGTATAAATTCACCAAAGATACATGCAAGAATGTTTACAGAACCACCGTTCGTAGTGTCCCAAAGTGGAAACTACTCAGATGCTCTATAGCAATAAAATGGACAAAGTGCCCGTCCTCTGAGCGGAATACTAGACAGCAGTGAGAATGAAAAAAATCATAATATGGGCAGTAGTATGAATTGTCAAAGGCTGTGCTAAGCCCAAGATAGAATGGAAGGCTGTTTATTCATAAACCTGTGGCAGGGGGACCTCTGCCATCACTTCTGTTTCAGCGGGAGTTCAAAGGGGGGTAGGAAGGAGAGCCAGTTTCTTTTTTTTTTTTTTTTCCAACGTTTTTATTTATTTTTGGGACAGAGAGAGACAGAGCATGAACGGGGGAGGGGCAGAGAGAGAGGGAGACACAGAATCGGAAACAGGCTCCAGGCTCTGAACCATCAGCCCAGAGCCTGACGCGGGGCTCGAACTCACGGACCGCGAGATCGTGACCTGGCTGAAGTCGGACGCTTAACCGACTGCGCCACCCAGGCGCCCCAGGAGAGCCAGTTTCATAGAGGAAACAAGAGACGCTAAGGTAGTCTCTGATTTCCAAGTGTGCTGTTAATAAGGTGGAAGTTTTGCAAGACTTTCTAATTGGTCTCGAGGTGCTTTTGACCATTCTTGATGGACAGCAAGGGGGCTGGCTCCCTACTGCTTGGCAGAGGAAGGTGCACCCCCATCGAGTGGCCCGCAAAGCCCACCCAGTCCCAGTTGTCCTGCCCAGCTTCTCACTCTGCCCTCCAGGAACATCGACTTCCTTTTGCATCCTCTGAAGTGCCATAGTCTCTTCTTCCTCCATCTCTGAGATGCTTATACTCCAGTGGGAGGTAAAGACACCGTCAGGAAATTCTAGAAAGGGATATAAAATTATAAGTGGAATTCAACCATGAAAGAAAGGAACATATAAGAAAAGAAATTGGCTAGATGGCAGGATGAGGGCTGGCTTATCTGATATGGTTTAAAGTCTGAATAATTTAGAGGCAGACAGGATGGTAGAGGAAGAAGATGAAAACAGTATGCGCAAAGGCCCTGAGGCAAGAGAGAGTGTAGTCGCTATCAGGAATTGAAAGAAAGAGCACACAAAGCAAAAGGTAAGCAAGAGGCTTCTAGAACATCATGAGGATTGGGACTTTACCACCAGCGAGTGGTATTTGAAGCAGGTGGTGACATGATAACATTTCATTAGAAAAGCCAGTCTCTGACTGCAGGATAGATGGGGAGGCAGTTTAAATGCCAAGAGACCAGTTGGAGGGAAATGCAACGGTCCTGGCCAGAGAGAATGGGCTGGGGTGGTGGCAGTGAGGTTGGAGAGAGTTGGAGAGATTCTAGAAAACAACCCGGGAGGTGAAATTGGCAGAACTTGGTGATGGTCTGAGTGGAGGGGGGCAGGTGGGGGAGAGAGAGTGGGGCGCCACAGAGGACCCAGGGATTTTGTTCCCCTGCGGGGATACCAGTACCTTTTCTAAGGCAGAGGCTCGGTCTGGCCCCGGTTGGGGCTCAGAGCGGAGACATGTATCAGTCGGTTGGGGCGAGGTCAATTTCAGGTGGGGCATGAGAAGTGGAGAGAGGTCAGACAGAACAAATGATGAAGGTCTGCGGTCCAGAGGAGAGGTCAGAGCCACGTAAACAATTAATTGCCCTTCAAACATAACTTGCGGATTTGTCCACATTTGTTTCAAGTTTGAGAAATTGTTATTTGGTTTTCATTTGTTTCTTTCTCCCCTTTTGTTTGCAGAGCTTTTTAATTTTTCTTTCTGCCCCTCTCTCATTTGTATGTCTTTTTTTTTCATTTAAATGTTTATTTATTTTGAGAGAGTGCGCATGCAAACGGAGGAGAAGCAGAGAGAGAGAGAGAGAGGGAGGGAGGGAGGGAGAAAGAGCATCCCAAGCAGGCTCCACGCTGTCAGCACAGAGCCCGACGTGGGGCTTGATCCCATGAACTATGAGATCATGACCGAAGCTGAAATCAGGAGTCGAATGCTTCACCGGCTGAGCCACCCAGGCGTCCCTTGTGTGTTTCTTTTGACTCAGAGGCTTTCTAAGGCCACCACCTCCATCTCTGTAGATGGGATGTGCCCTTCACCCCTGCGGGCTGCCTTGCCGTGTCACTGTGGGGTGTTACTAGCAGACAGACAGACAGATAACAAAAGGGGCTGCAGTTGCAAGGCCTTTGGAGGTTATTTGAACGTGGGAAACAGGTTGCTGTTTGGGGCAAGGCTATTTTCCAGCGCAAAAGACCTGAGCTGTGCCGAGGTGCCTTTCAGAAGACATGCCTGGTGCATCTAAATCTCCAGGCGTGGGCTCAGCCTTCACCCTCCCGGGGGTGGGGGACAGGTTGTTGGACAGCTTCTGGCTTCTGGCAGGCATTCAGACGAAGCTGGTGAGGAGGACAGAAGGGGAGAGAGAAGGCTGGAGGGGAGGGTTCGTTTCCAAGCACGAATAAAAGCACCTAGGAATGATTTTCACAAGTCAGATGAGCCAGAATGAATAGACGCAGCACATGTTTCTACGTGAACTTTACTAGGCAGCACTGATTCAGAAGCTCAGAACCGTAGCGGGATATACCTGGATCCTGAGTCCAGACGGATTTCACAGGAGGAAAAGAGGGGCTCCGAGGGCTTCACCTGGCGGAATGTTCCAGAAGATCACTACACTGGTGTTTAGTTCCAGTATTTTAAAAATTAAAAAGGACGGTGCTCAGAAAGAATCTTCCGTATCGATTAACAACGAATGTTATAAACGACTGAGGCTCGAGGGAAAAAGATGTGTTTTCCACGCGAAGGTGGTTGTTTCGCATGGTCTATCGGGTTGACCCCCACTGTGGGAAGTCCATTCATGGCCGTTGTCACCTCCGTGATCTCTGTGCGGTGGTGGTGGTGGTGGGGGGTGATGGCGGGTCTGGCTTTGGGCCCAGCTGTCACTGGATCATTGCTGGGGGTGGAGGGACAGCCAAGGAGAAGCCCAGCGTCTCTTAGTCAGACTGTTAGGTTTGTGGTTCGTGGCATCTAGTGTGTTATGTTCCCAAGTCATTTTCCAAAGGAATTTTCTAGAGGGACTTGGCAGTTTTTACTGAGGTTGTTTTTCCACATGGAACTCGACTATTGTGTGTGATGTAATGTGCAGAATCAAGAAATACATAAACGCTTGTGTCTTTATGTGTGATCAACAGGTAGAGCTGAGCAGAGACCAGGCACTCTCGTAAGTGTTTAAGGAGTAATAAACCATCTAAGGCTCACGTTCATCCTTTATGCTTGGTGCTTATAAGACCCTCTTTTTACAGATGAGTCAACAGTGGCACAGACGGGTCGGTTAGCCGGCCGAGGCCACGGGGAGCGTGAACAGTGGGGCCAGGGTGTGAAACAGCGTCTTCCACCTCTGGGACCTGCTGTTGGCCCTCGAACCATGCAGGGGTTAGGGGTGCCGACACCCTGTGCAGTCAAAAATCTGGGTATAACTTCTGACTCTCTAAAAACTTAACCGCTGGGGCATCTGGGTGGCTCAGTCGGTGAGGCGTCTGACTCTTGATTTCAGCTCAGGTCATGATCTCGTGGTTCGTGAGTTTGAGCCCCGAGCTGACAGCACAGAATTTGCTTGGGATTCTCTGTCTCCTTCTCTCTCTCGCCTTCCCCTACTCTCTCTCTCTCAAATAAACATTTAAAAATGAAAAAAAAAAAAAAAAACCTAACAGCTTACTGTTGACCAGAAGGAAGCCTTACTGTTAACATAAATAGTCAATTAACACATATTTTGTATGATACACGTATTATGTGCTGTATTCTTACAATAAAATAAGCTGGAGAAAAGAAAACGTTCTTAGAAAATCTAAGAAGAGAACATACATTCATAGTACTGAACTGGATTGAAAAAAATCCGCGTAGAAGTGTACCCGTGCCGTTCATAACCGTGTTGTTCGGGGGCTAACGGCATTGCTCATTGCTACGCCTCTACCGGGAACAGGTGGACCTTTTACAACGTGTAGTCCCAGTGACGTTTTATTTTCTCTTAGGAGCGACTGGGTGACCTCCTACAAGGTCATGGTGAGCAATGACAGCCACACGTGGGTCACTGTGAAGAACGGATCGGGAGACATGGTGAGTTTCCTCTTCCCTCTGTGCATGCCCTTGGTGTCCGGCTGTGCGGGTGTGTGCGGAGAGAGGCCGTGCGTGCCCCCTCACTGTCTGCGGGTTCCGCGTCCACTCACGCCGATGACGGGTAGCGCCCCTCTCGGCCGTGCCCCGAAGCTCAGTGCCAGGTGGCCCATTTAGAGCTAACGTGCGATCCCGGCCGCTGGGACGCGGTGTCTTCCACAGCTCCCGGGTCAGCCTTGGAGACTGGCGGCACGTGCAGTATGCTGGGGTCCCTCCCAGCGGCTCAGTGACAGCAGCTCCCCAGCCTCTTCAGTGACCCCCATCTTTGCGCTCCGTGATCCGCCCCAGATCCGCCGGTTCTGACCACGCCACCCTCTTCCTCCGGTTCTCAGGCGCGTCCTTCCTAACGCGGTGTCCAGAGTCTTGGACAATCTGACGGCAGCCTCCGGTCTCAACCTTCTTTCTCGTTCTTCCCCCCTGCACACGCTCCTCCTGTGTTCCAGTGGCAGCAAGCTAGCTACCCTGCTCTTTCTGAATCCCACCTCTGGGCTTCGCCAGTCATTGCTGCCGCTTTTCTCTAGAATCCCTGCCGTCCCTACAGATCTAAATAGTTTGCCTTCGAGGCCAGTTTGCACGCCACCTGCTCCCTGAACCTCTATCTGGTCCTTCCCTTCTTCTGAAATCCCAGAGCTCCGTGGCTGTCCCTCTGTCACGGCACTAAGAGCTTTCGCCCGGATTGTCTAAGTATTACCTCCTCCTTGTCTCCCCGCTGCCCCAGAAGATTGGGGGCGTCCTGAGGGCAGGGTCTACGCCTGATTCATTTCTCTTCTCCCCTCAATGCCCAGCACATATTGGGCATTTCTCAGTAAAGTCTTATGGAGTGAATAGTTTACTGACCCTTTTATCCCTTGGCAATCAGGCTCTGAAAGATCCTCCCTTTTCCCCCTCATGCCTAAATAGATATTTGAAGGAAACAGTGAAAAAGAGATCCCTGTTCTCAACGAGCTGCCCGTCCCCATGGTGGCCCGCTACATCCGCATAAATCCACGGTCCTGGTTTGACAACGGGAGCATCTGTATGAGGATGGAGATCCTGGGCTGTCCGCTGCCAGGTGGGCTTGCTTTTCCGTATTTGCTGCAGGTGGGGTGCTGGTGGAGAACGGGTGCCTGGCCAAGGTGACTACAGACGTGCCAAGCAATCTTTTTCTCGTGTAAAAAAATATATATATATGGGGCGCCTGGGTGGCGCAGTCGGTTAAGCGTCCGACTTCAGCCAGGTCACGATCTCGCGGTCCGTGAGTTCGAGCACCGCGTCAGGCTCTGGGCTGATGGCTCAGAGCCTGGAGCCTGTTTCTGATTCTGTGTCTCCCTCTCTCTCTGACCCTCCCCCGTTCATGCTCTGTCTCTCTCTGTCCCAAAAATAAATAAAACAACGTTGAAAAAAAAAATATATATATATACCACATCTATTGCAGAATGTTTAGAAAACAGAGCGAAGCAGAAAGGAAGTAAATAAAAATCTCCCATAACCCTCCTCGGAAACACCACGGGTATTTGGGGGGTAGTAGCAAATGGACGTACCAGCTGTGGTTTTGCCGACTGGGATTTTAAGATGATGCGTGTTTCAAGGTTGAAAAGTCACTCAACACCACCACTCAGAAGCAAGCAAAAGAAAAAAACTGGAGCGAATTTCTGGTGGCATGTTTCCTTGTCTTTGAGTGTTCCCGCTACTCTGGGTAGAGTGTTCCCGCTACTCTTCCTCTACCCAGACCGTGGGTGGGTACGGGTGGCCGTGTACGTCGCCTCTTTTCGGTTGAAGTCGCTTTGCTTGGGTGCCTGTGTCTTGGGGTAAACGCTTGTCCCTTGAGGTCGTTGTATTCCCCGTGGCCTGTTTTCACACAGTGGCATCTGGGTGTGACCTCGGGGTGGCAGGAAGAGGCGGGCTTGAATTCACACGTGTCGTCTGGATCCTTGCTGGTACCTGCTCTGGACAGGCTGATCTGGTCTGGCTCATGACCGGCTCCATCTGGCCTTTCAGAACTTGTGAGTTTGTGCCCATGGGAAGCCTTGTGGATGGCAGCCCCTTCATCCTGACTGGACATCTCCAGGGAAGGAAGTGGGCTCCTAGAACGTTCCTAAGGCTCTTCATCAGGGCCTGTAGGAATTTCCACATCCCCGTCCACCTGCAGTCAGTCCCCAGGGTACAAGGTGTTCAGCTTTGGGTTATGGCTTTCCTTACCATTCTTGCCCAACAAGAGAGTGAGGGCTTGCCACTTCTGGGGTTCCCCTACTTGGAGGAAGTGAACCACCAGCTCTGATGTTCTCAGGTGTTACAGTGTCCATCGGGCCATTTCTGTCGCCATCCAGCCCCCCACACATTTGCTGTGTTTTCAAAGCATGTTTAATGTCACTTACTGCCTTTCTCTCAATCGCATAATATCCACGTTCTTGCTTCGCCAAGGATGAATGTCTAGAATACAAACTCTGCATTGGTGAGAGAGATGGGCCTCTCTACCTACCTACTCACACTTGGGACCAGACAGATTCTTTGTTATCTCTTTGTATTTACTAGATCGTGAAACCTTTTTTATGTCATTAAGACCATTAGAGACCATCTGTCTTGTGAGTGCATCGTCTAGTCTGTTGACCACGTCCTGTTTTTAGTCTGCCTTGCAGTGGGGTGTTCAGTTGTTCCCAGTGTTTTGGTTCCATAAAGAACCGCACAAGGAATGTCTTTGTTTCTGGGCCCTTGTGTGCTTCCACGATTACTGTCTAAATTACAGGATCATTCAGTTTATAGGATTGGCGTTTAACATTAGGTTACGGTAAACAGGATCGCTGGCTCCAAGGGCGTGTGCGTTTTCAAGGCTGATCCAGAGAGGATGTTCGAGGCCAGCCTGGTTTGGGACCTGGGCCTCCTATGGGGCTGGTTTGTGCTGGAGTTGCAATCACAGGTCCCGTGTGCTGCGGCCCAGGGCCTCTAGGCTTTCTGGAATGCGTAGACTGGAGACACAGGTGCAGGAGGGTATTTGAGCGGTCCTGTGTGCTCCTGTGTCGCTCAGCACAGCTTCAGTCTGCTTGCTTTAAAGAGACGGTCCCGGTGTCTGTCTGTGGGCAGGAATTCATCCGTTGTTGGTGAGGGGCAAAGGGCATCCTGTGAGAGTCTCATGAAATAAATATTTCCCTGTGAAGTTATTCTTGGGATGTGTGTGTGTTTGAAGATAGGTCCATGGGGCAACTTAAACACAAAGACAGAGTTAGTGACACCACGTGGTGGTGGTCCCATCTGAGGGACTGGGGCTGCGCAGGGGCCCCCCAAGTCCACGTGGGCAAGTGAACCTTTGCTCACTGCCCTGTGGTTGGCACGGTCCCTTTGTGCAAGTTCACGAGGCCAAAGGCAGAGATTACCGAACAGCTCAGCCGCTCAGACCTAAGGTGACTTTGTGGTCTGAATGCAACCGCCCGGAGCCTGTTTTTCCTGGAACTCTTATTTATGAAAAATTCATTTACCTTTGCTTCTGCTCTCTTTGTTCTGTTCTTACCATCCTCCTGTGAACCTTCAGGTCGGGGCAGAGGAAGGTGGTGATTCTTTTCAAGTCCGTCATGAGTAATGTTTCCAGAAACTTTTGAACTGGAAAATGAATTACCGCATGCCATAGTCTATTAATAGGATTTTTAAAGCTCAGAACTAAAAGATAATGGAGAGAGTTGTTTATGGTTACAGTTTCAGATTTGCAAGATGAGAAGGTTCTAGAGATCTGTCTTACAACAATGCAGATATATTTAACACTACTCAAATGTGCCCTTAAAAACGCTCAGGATGGTGAATTATGTAAGTCTTTTACCACAATTAAATTTCTTTAATGTAAAAAATATTTTATTCTTTTTTATTTCTTTATTTTTTTTTAAGTTTATTTTTTGAGAGAGAGAGAGAGCATGAGTGGAGAAGGGGCAGAGAGAGAGAGAGGGACAGAGGATCTGAAGCGGGCTCCATGCTGACAGCAGAGAGCCCGATGCGGGGCTTGAACCCACACACGGGCGAGATCATGACCTGAGCCAAAGTCAGACGCTTAACCGACTGAGCCACCCAGGTGCCCCTATTCTTCTTTATTTTTATTTAAGCATAGTTGACACACAATGTGACGTTAGTTTCAGGTGTATAATGTAGCGATTTGATAAGTTTATATGTTACGTTGTGCTCACTCCGAGTATAGCTGTCGTCTGTCACCATAAACACTGTTGTGGTATCATCGACTATATCCCCTAGGCTTATGCCTTTTATTCCCATAACATTCATTCCGTCCCTGGAAGCCAGGATCCCCTCCCCGCCACCGCCGCCCCCCCCCCGTCCCCCGCCTTCACCCATGTTTGCTCATCCTGCACCCCTCCCCTCTGGCAACCACCGGTTTGTTCTCTGTATTTACAGGTCTGATTCTGCTTTTTGTTGGCTCGTTTACTCATTTGGTGTTTTTAGTTTCCACATGAGTGAAATCCTATGCTATGTATCTTTCTCCGATGGACTTATTTCCCTTAGCATAATGCATCCTAGGTGGTTCATTTTTTTAAGACGTTAAAAAGAAAGTCCTTTTCCCCAAATTTGAATGGTCTCTTCCATTTTGGATGAGTACGCATAAAGATCTGTGCAGGCCGGAAGCTGGGGAGAGCCTAGGAAGATACATTTTTAACCGTGAAAGTTTCAGGTTAAGACACGCTCTGGCTGGGGCACCTGGTTGGCTCTGTCAGTTAAACGTCCGACTTCGGCTCAGGTCATGATCTCACAGTTCATGAGTTCGAGCCCTTTGTCAGGCTCCGTGCTGATAGCTCAGAGCCTGGAGCCCGCTTGGCATTCTGTGTCTCTCTTTGTCTCTCTCAGCCCCTCCATCACTCACACTCTGTCTCTCTCTCTGAAAAATAAACATTAAAAAAAAAGGCACATGCTGGTTGACTTCAAGATCAGTGTGGGGGCACCTGGGGGTCATGATCTTGTGCTTTTGTGAGATCGAGCCCCTCATCAGGCTCTGTGCTGACAGTGCAGAGCCTGCTTGGGATTCTCTCCCTCTGTCTCTCTTCCCCTGCCCCCCTTGTGCTCTCTCTCTCTCTCTCTCTCTCAAAAAAAGAAAATAAAAGATCACAGTGTTGGTGATGGTCAGCTATTTTGTTACTGCAAACAATACTGCCATGTGTAGAATCTGTTTCTGAAAAGGGCCCCATCGCTCTGCACACTATTTCCCCGCAGGGCAACAGGACCGTGGCCAGGATGCTGGGAAATGACTTTCAGGGCTGGGGATGGCGATGCTTGGGCCCCGGTGCTGCTCAGCAGCTCCTACTGTGAGTGTCTGATCCCTGGGGAAAGTCGCCACTCCTCCCCCCTCATCTTCCCGGCCACCAGGTCTGAGTGACTGCCCTCCCTCTGCACACCGTGCTGACGTGTCTGGGGTTCTCGGATTCGACTCAGGACCTCACGGGGAGCTGTGCACGGGTCTGGGGATAGGAGCTCGTTTCCTGTCAAGCGTGGGGGGAGCTGCTAAGGGGTGATGCCCCATGTCTATTCCTGCGAGTGGGCTCGGACCCTCAGAGTCCCTCCTAGGGGAGACCCTTCCTTCCTCCTGATACACAGACCCTCCCAGTCATAAAGCACTGAAAAAATAGTTCTTTTGCAAGACCACCGCCCATGTTGCTGACCTGGAATGTTTCAGCCAGCGCCCCCCGCCATCATCAATATGGGTAAACTGGGGAAGGAAGGGGCTCCCCTGGGTCAGCGTGGTGGCAATGACCTTGGAAGTTTATTTGCTTTGCTACCTTTCACTTTTCTTCACAAAGGCCACAGCTGGAATACTCACTTATCCCGTGGAACCGGTCATTATTTGGGGCCCAGGCCTGGGCTTTGCAAAGACAGGAATCCACACACAAAGTTACTGTGGCCTTTATTTTATCTTCCTTTGCTGAGGGTGATATTTTCTCAGCCTCTTTTTCTTTAAATTTTTTTTCAACGTCTCTATTCATTTTTGAGAGACAGAGAGTGAGCAGAGGAGGGCAAAGAGGGAGAGGGAGACACAGAATCGGAAACAGGCTCCAGGCTCTGAGCCATCAGCCCAGAGCCCGACGCGGGGCT